CTATATGACTTTTGATGTTCACCTCTAATCTATTGATGTTGTTCTTTGCTATTTTGCTACTTTGTTGTTTTATCTTACTTGTTGTAAACCATCCAGAGTGGCTTGGCTGCCAGATAGGAGGTATATAAATCAAATAAATAAATACATACATTCTTGACCCTTTTCACCCCACCTGCCCACTTGCTTGCCCCTTCACACCCAATTTCCCACCCACCTGAACAAATTGTCTGCCCCTGATCACCGCTAAACTCCCATTGATCACAAATATCAAAATCATAGGACAGATAGGAAAATGACTGTGAACACAAGAAACATCACAATTGCAACAAGGAATAGGTTCTTACCTAGAACTTCACTATAGAAAGTATCCCATTGTTTAAAGAGATATTGCTGGAACAAGATGTCTTGTGAAAGGTAAAAGAGCATATTCCCCATCCTCTGCAGGAAGGTCATCCGGTCTGTTAGCCCTCCCAGACTGGCAGGCACATAGGACGGAGGAGATGGGATACCACCACAAAGACGCTCCATGGTGTTTCCAAAAGTGAATCTTAAGGAATATATAAATGGAACATTGAGCTTCTCAGCCACCAGTTCCCCACAAGCTAAGACTGGGTCTGAAATGAGAATATCAAAATGAGCTGACTCCAACTTCTTCAATAGTTTTTCGTCCAACAGAACTGTGTCACATATAATTTTGTTTTTGTGCAGTATTTCTTTCATAAGGTCAAAAATCTTCATGGAAAATTTCCAAAAAGAAAGCTCATGCCTCTCATAAGCCCATATACGTACGAAATCCTGAAGTATTGTTTCCATATCCTCTTTTTCGATTGAAACAGAGATCACTTCCACTTGAAATCGGGACGGCTCACTGAAGTTCATTATCAGGAAGGATGAAGGCACTAACACCGTCACTTGGTGGCCCCTGGCTATCAGTTCATCCAGGATAGCTTTCATATTGAGCCAATGGCTGAAGTCAACAGGCCAAACAAGAACATTCCCAGTAGAAGCTGAGCCCACAAAGAACACTAGAAGCAAAGGAAACACCAGCATCCATTTCACAGACATTGTGCTCCAGCTTTTCTCTGCTTGAGTAATGATGATAATGTGAAATGAGAGTCTGGGTGCATGCAGGTACACTTGCATTTTATAACGAACCACCCTAAATAACCTTTGTCATCCTTTGGCATGGGAATTATCAAGAAAACAAAGGTCTCTGTGCCAGGGCAAAATCCAGTGACAGATAACACAACACCAGCTAGTGG